CTAAACTAGCATCAGCAGCCAAGTACTGCCTGTGTGTTCTGGACACTTCCACCCCGTCAGAGCGCTGCCCCGGGGTAGAAGTGTCCCCCGAACGCAACGAATATTCAGATATTCATCATTAAATGGACCCAGAAAGTTCTACTGGGACCAGCCCTACTAGTTATTATAACAACTATAAACAATAAATATGAACAACAAATGATCCTTCCAGCATCAAGCCCTCCTCGTATCTGGACCTCCGTCTGGACAATCCGACAGCCTTAATATCCGACATAACAGAAGGTTTTACATTTAGTGTCGGATTATCGACTGTAGTTGTGGCAAGTCAGGGATTAAACAATAATCTGACTGATCAATAAAATAATAAATGTGTTAATCAATGATAGAAATAACTGTCAGTTAAAGCTTTCACAGGTTTTGTTTTCACTCATTTTACTAAAGTCACACCTATCACGGTATTAACTGCTCCTGCATTAAACTTCTGCCCATAAAGTAAAATAAGGACTTAAGTTTAATGTCATGCTATTTTACCTTTTTGTTTTTTTGCACTTGAGTTGAGACGCTACCAGGAGCAGACTCTGTACCATCATCACTACAAGTGGGAACCTCAAACACGTCACATTCTCATTCCAGGGTGCACAACATAGTGGACAGAAGTCGCTTCTGCATCACACAACAACACACCGGCCAACAAAATCATCTTTCCTGCAAACACACAACCTCATGCACGAAAAAAAAAAAGTGCCTCAGGTCACAAGAATAATAGTTTCAATGAACGAAAACCACATTCCGATGAAAAGTGGTTTGGTCGAGTGACAAACAGTAAAACAGGATCGATTTGTCGCTCTATCTGTTAACGTGACGGCATGAAGTTCAGGTTTGTGCCGTGTTGATGTTGCTGGGTCTGACCCAGTGAGCATAAAGCTCGTCTACAGATGAAACAGACGCATCCAGATGTCATCAGAGAGGAAGGCGTGTCTGGAAGCAGCCATTTCTACCCTTTAATCACTCAGAGACGAAACAACTTCATGTGCAAACTTTCTTTTCAGGAATCAGTACTGGTTGTGGTTCCGGTTCTACTCAGTCTACCTTCTCTCCTGCATGTGAAGCAGTAACATCAGAGCGAGTAGAGCTCATAACAACACACATCAGCTCAAAGATTGTCTGTTACAATTTAGTGCAAAATGAGAAATATGTGTGTGTGTGTGTGTGTGTGTGCATGATAAATGTACCTCTCGGGGAGCTCCTGTTCTGGAAAGTCCTGGTAGTACCTGATGAAGAACCTCTCAGCATCCTCCCTCTCCCCGTCAGACACGGCACTCCCGTTCAGCACCGTTACAGATGGCAGCCTGCAGGCACAAGCAGCAGTCCAGAGCTGAATGTGATCATTTAGTACGCAGCTAAAGGTGATAAATAGACATGTGACACTGCATGAAGTGTGTGTGTGTTAGTGTGTAGCTTCACACTCACTGCGCTAACAGGAGGCTATGTCTCTCCTGGGTGCTGTACGACTGCAGCAAAGGAATCCCTTTTGCTTTGACTTCCTCCAGCTTAGGAAAGAAGTTCAGCCTTTCGATGTCATTCCATTTGCTAAGCCCTGAAAAAAAAAGAACACCAAGAGTTTTAAGGCGAATATTTGTTTAAACGATGCACTTGGGCTGCTTTAGAAATCCAACAATAATCTTGGTCATGATTGTGATTTCCTGCAGTTAAATGAACACGTCTGACTGTCGTGCAGGTGGTTTAAAGGCTCTGCTCACAGAACACCCGTCTGAATATCAAACCAAGAGCGTCCTAAACTAACAGCCAGCCACCAGGGAGCGACTGAGACCTTTGGTTCTACTTTTCAGGAGCTTTTGAGCCTGGGCGGAACGTTTCTGGTCTGACCAGAGCAGACGGGAACAATCAAACGTGAAGGTGAAACTTGCTGAAACGAATCATCATCCGTTGGACGTATTTTGTATTTAGGCAAAGTGATGAGAGGGGACAACAAAATATATGCAAAGAGTGTGCGCCTGTGCTGCAAAGCAACACAACTAACGTGTTCAAAAACACACCACAAACAGCAATACGATGAAACGCATGAAGGCCAAGAAGCACATCTGCGCTCATGTTGCCTCGCTGGTGGTAGATGTCCACTCGATCCTCCTTTTCTAAGCTTACCGTTTATCGTCTACGGAAGCAGCTGCACAGCGCGTTCTGGCTTTGAACGTCATCACAAGAGCTGCTTATTTGCATAAAGTTGAGATCTTGGCTACTTCATGAAGCTCCTGCAAAACTCTAAAGCGAACTGTCGTCTGTCTAAGATACAGAGAGAGTCAACAAGTGCACTTCTGGCCTCAAATATCTTCAGTTTTGTTTAACTGTTCGATGGAACGGTTTGAAACTTTAGGAGCAGAGAGCCCATAAATGCAGCTAATGTTTGAGTGGTTTCAGCAGAGAGCAGCCTGTATTGATTTCCTGTTACCTTAAATGTAATTATTTATTAAAACACTGCCTTATTTTGAGCTCATCAAGCCTCCAGAGTTGGGGACGCTGTCAGTCTTCATCCTCGTCCTGGATCCACGTCACCGTATCGCACAGAGTGAAAGCAGCTCTGCTTGTTTAATGTTGGCTCAGAAGTTTTGGTACATGTGTGTGAATGAGGATCAGTCTTATGTTGACGCAGGTTTTGTACATCAGCAGGAATGCAGCACAACTCTACTGGTCCCTGTTTATGTTAAAACCCAATAAAAACACTTTGTGCCTAAAATTAATGAACACTGAATATTTATGGCTTCAATACTGATCAAAATAATTCTAATTTATACATAATCCTAACCAGCGCTGAATACTGGATAGTGGTAGTCAAACATGTGTATAATGTTCAAGATCCACACCTGAATTGTTGAGGTTGATGCTGCGCAGGTTGGGAAACAGACGCTCCAGTGTGTCCTGAGTGTCTCCCACACAGTCCACGCTGTTGTTGGCCAGCACCAGTGCGCTCAGGCTGGGGTACAGCAGCCCGAACTTCCTCACTTCTGCCCATTTCTGCAGCTGGTTGTCTGTGATCTGCAGCAGGCGCAGCGACGGACAGGGCGCCTGCGACTCGGACACGGTGTCGTAGCCGTTCAGGCACAAGAAAAGCTCCTCCAGCCTTAAAGAAGAGGTAAAATATACGTTACAGAAAGTAGTAGGCACATTTCTCAGATCAAAGGGTTTGTTTTTGAGTCTGTGAAAGAAAAGGGACGCTGCGATTCCACCGTCGTCTTACCGTCCACAAACCCACCAGCAGGTCTGCGACAGTCACACCTGTCGGCTCCAACTTAAGGCTTTAAAAACATGTTCCAACAATTCATTTCAGTTGGAAAGAAATTCATGAGTTAGAAGGAGATGTGACGGATAGAAAGAATACTTCACTAACGTGTCTAAGCCTCTGGGCGTTTTTTTGCTCCAGTCACATTTTTACTCGCTGTGGGCTCATTTTTTACTGCAATATAAAATCCTGCACCTCTGTGGAAACAGCACAGCCGCAGACAGAAGGAGAGAGAACTGGAAAATGGCTTTTGTGCAGGATTGAACAGTTATGGCAAAACTCATTAAAAAAAAAAAAAAAAATTTACTTTACAATTAAAATAAACCAGAATCAACATGTGCGACATTTTCCCTCCAGGTCTTAACAATAACTGAGAAAGAAACGGTGGCTTTACAGGCTGCAGATATTTTACTACATACAGTCTGTGTGTGTTGTTTCTTCTCCACTTTGTGTCAACACAATCTGCAGTTCAGCCAAAAACCCTCCAATTGTTCTTATATGACTCTTGATTGCACGACAAGGACAGAAATGTTCATTTTTTATAGATTCTGGTAACTACAAACAGTTCATTTTTGGGTATTTTTTAAACTAGACATGTGGAACAAAGTAAATTTGATGAAATAATATCCAGAGTTGGCTGGTTTAATCTGGGCCACTGAGGGATAAGCTGGACGAGGATACAGACAATTTGACAAGCTCACAGTGGCTGAATGGACACGAGTGTTTTCTGTGAGCATGAATAGGAACCCTGTGTTTACTGATCTCTCCTCGACGCGGTGATTTCACCAGCAGCACGACGGCCGGCTGTCGCCACTTACTCCGGCGTATGTCGCGTGAGCGTGTGCACGGTGTCCCAGCTGATGTGCGTGTTGATGAGGACGAGCCGTCGGACTCTGGAGAAGACCTCGGCCATGCTGGGCTCCAGCTCCACGCCGCTCAGAGGGTTCGTGCTCAGGTTGAGGAAGTCCAGGTGGGGGATGTTGGAAACGATGGTGCAGATCTGGCAACCCACAGAGAAAGAACAGTGAGAGTGTTTACTGGTGGCGTGCCTGGACAATAAGTGCAGTGAGATGCAAAGTGGCTGCTCTCAAAGATGTGCAACAACGATAAGGACAACTCTGAAATTTAAATTTGGTGTTGGCCATTGATTAGAATAAAAACTAATTTCTGATTTTGATTCTGGTGGAGGTCAGGGTCTCTGAGCGGCAACACCCATCAGAGCAGTGTTCTGGATTTCTGGAAGATATAAAACCTTTCATCAACAGACCAAATCTGGTAAACGTTCAACCTGCTCTCATCACGTCACGCTTGTTTTTATACGGAAAACAATTTTAATGTACGTTTCTTAATCTGGTGAAGGTGAGAAAATCCAGCTGCCAGAGAATTAAAGTCATTTAACTTGGGCACGGCTTAGAGTTCTCATAAATAAACCTGGTGGAGTGAAAGGCAGGTGATTAATCTGAATGTTTGACTTCGCAGCTAGCGGGCAGCGAGAGCGAAGGATTATGAAGGTTTGAGCTCAACGGATACCGATTCCTCAGCTCAGTAAAATCCTTACTGGCTCGTAAAGTCAGGAGGCTACCTAGCTGTAGGAGGATTTGAGACTGGCAGAAGCAAAAAAGGATTTTCTCCAGAAAGTACCCAAAGAAAAGGATAAAAATCGATTCAATAAATGTGTGACAGATGAAGGTTTTGTCGATGTGGAAACAGCTGATGAAGCCTCTTCTCGTACACGGTTTCACAATTTGTCTCAAAGTCCAATTCTGACTTCATAACTGTACCAAGACGTTGGAAGACTGCCGCCGTCCGACCCTGTTGTGGTGTCACTGCTTAAAGTGCTACCAGTAACACTTTCCTGTCAAAGACAAGTCAGTGTGTGTGTTCTGAAAAGCGCCTGTTCTGGAATCACCACCATCCTCCATTCAGACCTTCTTCTCTGCAGAATTAATACCTGCACACTTCAACAGCAGCGACACGACGCCTTTAAACGACACGAACTGCTGCTGAGACACCCACCTCTCCCCAGTCGTTGAACTGATTGTGGGACAGGTCCAGCTCCACCACGTGACCACAGAAAGCCGCGATGTCCGACCTGTCGCCGGCTTTGTTGATGCCCCGGTGGTTCAGAACCAGTATGTTTGGTAAGAAGAGACGATCTGCGAAGAGGAAAGCCAGCATCAGTTCAGGCCTTCCCTCAGATGATGACACATTCAGGAGCTTTAACCTTTGACCGCGCTATAACGAGACGGGTGTGAACTTCTGACATGTTGGCATAATCAGTATGTTGGTGGCTGTAACCCTGAAATAACTCCCTCCATCATCCGTCACCTTTGACGGGGGATCCCGGAGGGCTGGGCAGAACCATGACTCCCGGGCTGTAGGGGAAATTCTCAGGGTTGTACTTCTCGCTGATGACTTCGATGAAGGTGCGGACCTCCTCCTCATCGGAGGACGACTCCATGTTTCCAGTCCTGAACAGGCACATGAGAGAGAAAGACAAAGTGTTTCAGCTATGATTTGATTTGTACACTGTGGAATCAGCACCAAGGCTCAGCTCAGTGTCGCTCTCAGTCGCTTTCTACAGGACAAGTCTGCTCCTGCCAACGACACACACCCAGATCAACTGTTCACCTTCATACTCTGTGTATGATGCTATCCCCAAAATCCATTTGATCCTACAGACAGAAGATAGAAGTGTTTAAATAATTTCATTTTGAAGGCTCTGTAATTCACTAAACAGCAGGACGCTGTAGTGTTAAGCAGGAACTAGTCACTGCTGGGAAATGGACATTTTGGTGATTATTTATGGCAGCAGCACTGACATGTGGGATCAGCTCAAAATAAACTACAGCGGCTGTGTTGGTGGTTATGAAGGAAGGTGGTACCCAGTATAGTGGTGTGGCTCACTGGCAGGTAATGGGCCTCAAAGTGAGAGGACGACAGAAAGGTACGATGGAAAATAGCAACACGAAATCCTGCCGATGGGTTCGAAAGGAACCAAAATCACACTATTTACTAATGCCAGACATAATATATTATATATATTATAAATTAAAAAATGACCTTCAACTTCCTGATGGTCGCTGAACTTCTGTCTCACTTTAGTTTTGTCTGGAAAATTGACTTTATTCTACATCTCTTTAAAAAAAATGACAAAAAAAATTAACGTTTGCACAAAAGAGATTCTGTAAAAAAAACAAAAAATTCTGATCTTCTTGGCAAAACTGTGAAATCATCAGAGACTCAGCGTGACCGGGACTCACGTGACAAAAACTCTGACTTCTCAGGTGAACTGCAGGCAGTGTTTACACAGAGCAGATAGGAGAGAAGTACGGAAACAAATGAAAATGTAAACAGTAAAATATCTACTGTATGTAGAGCCACCTTTGTTTGTTGGTTACACCTGTGGGCACGTGGAAAATGTTGTACATGTTGATTCACGGTTCTTACATTTTTTGTAGAATAAATAATCCAAGAAATTCAAGTTATGGTGTTTTGTTTTTTAAAGATTTATGGCATCATAAGTTTTCCACACTGAACAGTTTCATTGAGCAGACGCTCGTATCCAAAGCGGCAAATATCTGACAGCAGACGCAACACAAGCAAGGACCTCGTCAGGAGGAAACAACCTGGAAAAGTGCCATAAAACAAGTTCAAGTGTGAGATAAGTTCGAGATAAACTGGAGCTCCTTCTACTTCCAGCCACAGTTGTGCTGCTTCCTTCCACAGAGGTGCAGGACCGACTGTTGCACCAATAAATGAGCCTACAGGGAGCAAAAATGTGAAGAAAACACCCAGAAACTGCTGGGAGTTCAGAGGGATATCACTAAAGTCTTCATCCGCCCCAAATGGGAGCCTAAAGTCACTTTTAAAAGACCAGAAATCACACGAGGTGACACCAGAAGACTAAGGTTTTGTAATGAAATGATTTCTCTGACCATTGCTGACTCAACACCATTTGAACCTCCTCCCTCAGGACACTTTTAGTCTCTTGGTGCCCGTCTGTCCGTCCTCCAGGAGGTAAAAGGTCACACACAGGCTCTGCTGGTCAAAATAAACCCTCGTCTATCTTTGCACGTGGCTGCTTTAAGTCCTCAACACTTCAGGAAATGTTCTTTGTGCTCTGCTTCTATACGTACATGAAGCTCAGCTGATTTGCACTCAGAGAAAACGATGCTGACGTGATCATTCGCCCTCACAGCGAAGGAAGCTGGAGGTGTGACAGGAGCTAACATCTCCACTCTGGAAAACGACAGTCGCACATTGTTGAAAACATGCAAAACCGTCTGAATGGTGGTTTTGAGCAACACAATGACAATATGGAACCAGAGGAACCAGTTCAGCCAAGGCTGGAAACACTGGCAGCTCCACTGAAGCATTTGTAAACTCGTTTGTCTGAACAATCTTCTTGCTCGTTCATGAAGCACTCGGCAAGCGGAGACACTTTACTGTAAATCCATGTGAGTGTGCTCAACAAACACGTTGCGTAAGTCGGAATATTTGCTGAAGAATAAAAGTCATTTCTTGTTCTTATCATCTCCAGCATGCAGGATTTCCCTCCTCAATCAGGCTTTTAAAATTAAGGTACAACAGTAGAACAAATAAATAGAAATAAAACCAGCGTCGGTGCTGCACCACTGTCAGCTCCTCCATCTGGCTGCTCCTGTCGGCTGATATTTAGATTTTTTTCTCTGTGATTCTTTGAGTACGTGTTGGATAAAAAGGTCTAAAAATAATCCCCGAGCATGGCAGGATAACCCACGAGACAGAGAGGTGAAACGTGAGAGGCGACGCGACACTGACAAGAGCAGGTGCGCGGCTGACACCCGGTTCTCACCGAAACCCGTTAGAGGTTCTGTTAGCTTATTAAACAATTAACAGAGAGCGTGGCTTTTCTAAAGTGAGGAGTAGTTTTAAATAAGTAGTGCATGAATTTCCTTTGCCTTTGTACAGCAGGCTCTATGCATAAAACTGGCCTGTGGACATTTTTTAGCCCTAATCGTGCGCTCGACGTGTAAAATCTGAGAAAACCACATCGTAGCCTCTTTGATGTTAAACATATGAGTGGATGTTAAGCATGATGTTTCATTAAAGGCAGGACATAAAACAACCATTAATAATTAAAACACACACACAGTTCTGAGCAGAGACGGGACGAAGGTTAACGAACAGCGGCAGACGTCATGGTTGTGCTGTTTCTATCCAGAAACTGCTTCAGAGGGTTAATAAACCAGCAGCCACTTGCACACAGGAAGTTAAAAAAAACACAAATAAGCACGTATGCTATCGAAAACAGCCACGCTAACTGCTTTATAGCCTGTTATAAAGCCTTTATTGTACGAATTATAAAGGCCACACACATATTTTAGGTGGAGTATCGTTACTAATTAACTAAATGTTCAACTATTCCCTAAAAACAAATGAAGTGAAAAACTTTTTTTCTGTTCTGTCTGAGCTTCACACTAAATTTGTCCTTCAGTACCTTCTGTGATGAACTGTAAGTCACTATGAACCACAGGAGGCTGGACAGGTGACACATTCTGACGTTTTTGCACAATTTTCTGCCGTTTTGTACATCAAATGATCACCAGGTATATCAGAAGACATAACCTCGACCTTGTCCGTCCACAGACAACCATCTCAGGTGCTCGGGACTCTCAGCTCAGACCTGATCAGAACTATCACTTTCAGACGAACTGGGTCTGATCATCTTAAACTCGGCCCACCCGAGGCGCTGCCAAACGACTGAGCGTTGTGTCCGGACTCTGTCTGATGTTTCTGTCATAGATAGTTTCTCGTTACACCGATCTCCTGATTCGTACCTCTGATGTAGCGGAGACCAAAGGAAAGATCACATGGCCCGTCCCTGCCGGCAGAACCGCTGATGAGAACCAGAGACAATGTGATTTTAAGCATGTGAAAGTTAAAAAAATCTCAACATTATGGCGTTTGAATGCTAGAAAACCTACTCAGGAAGACAGTGTTTAACCACATCAAAAGCAGCGACAGAAGGGAGGTGGAGCGACAGCCGGGCCGCTGTCAGAGACAACAATGTGATAATAGCAGCACCTTTCAAACAGGTGTCATGAACACATGTCAAACTGGGTTTTTCACTGCTTTTTTGTGGCGAAAACTATAGAAACTCTGTCATATTGTGTTCCCTTTTGTGCCCTATCAGTTGCACTTCAGAGATCTGATATTCAGCCGTTTTGCAGGTCTTTGTGCGAATACTAAATTTAGAAATGCGCCACTCTGGCTGGGATGCAGTCATCGCTGTCTGTAGACCGGTTCAAGATAAACTACGTCCACGTCGTTCATGGTGCAACCTCCACAATACACGAATAGCTGCATACATCAGGTGACCAAACCTGTTCCTCACATACTAAAAAAATCATTAAAAACAATAACAAATAGACAAACAGCAGAAAGAAGTCCAAGATGACAGCGTCCACTAATGATGTGAGACATTCAGAGTGTTGCGGCTTCATCCTTATCATCAGACGGTTTGTTCTGTGTGACATTATTCTACAATAGACTAGAAACATACATATTGTGTGCAGTTAATGACGTGTAATCTGAATATATTCGGCTTCTATGATCGATAAACGTCACCGTCAAATACACAACATGCGTGATGTCACCAGAACAAACCTCTAAAATCACACCGTTAAATGCTAAATCTCTCGGTTTCATCCATCCATCATCTCTACACCTTAA